AGAGTAATTTTTTTTTCTCCTGGAATTATTGACAAATACATGGAGAATCAATTCTAGTGAGCTCTACTACCCCACTGCACAGACCTGCTGCATTCTGTGTACTTCAGACAGGTACCCAAAATGAACATGAACTTCATCAGCTGTATTTTGACTACCATGTATAACTACACTGATTTTCATGAGTTATTGCTTATTTTCATCTGTGCAATCAAGACTAAAATCAAATCTGTGCCTTCTGATGTCCAGAGAACAGTGGCATGAGAACTGGTCTCATTAGCACTCATGGGAGATGCTGGTGCAGCCTGGGAAGGGAACGTGCAGCTTTTGACTTCTTAAAATTTAATGACACAGTTTATAGGGCTTTGATCCTCTAAGTTATCTTTACTTACAAGCAGGCTCATGAAAGTCAATGGGACCTATTTAGAATATAGAAAGTTGAACAGAGGAGTCAGTCTGTGCAAGATCTGCAGCAGCCAAACCAATATTGCCGTGTACAAATGCCATAACATTTTCTAAAAACTAATAAATGAACGGATTGTTTCCTTCTCACCAAATATTGAAGGCAGTTGGATTCTCTGTGGCTGTTACAAGTGCCCCTCATGGGCTGGGGGGAGCTTTCAGCAGTGGACTTGAATACATATTATTTTGTACATTGAGCTGCTCTATTCATCTCTCCTGGTGACTACATTTCTCTTTAAAATTCTTGAGGACGGTTCAATAATCCTATAGAATTACTATAGCTGTCAATGAAGTGCCTCTGGCCATTTTCATAGGTTTTAGGCAGAGCTTAACAGCAATTCATTTGAGTGAAAACGATGCAGGAATGGGAATGGGAGAAATATTCCTTGCCAGCAGGAGTTATGTTGTGGGCAGCTCTTTGTTGTGTGTGAAGTCCACTACCTGATGTAGAAGACAAATACACCAGCTCTGCTTTTTTTGGGTGTCTAATTCCCTGTGCCCCTGCTTGTTACAGACCTGTCCTTGCTTGCCTTTGTGCCTGCTGCAAAGACACAGAGCTCAGCTCTTCCCCACACGAGTGTGAAAAGGCACATGGCCTTTCCTCAGTGCACCTGCAGAAACAAAAGGAGGCTTTTCTTGATGCAGGCAGGGCAGATGGCTGACCACAGTTAGATGAAAAACTAAAATTGTAATTATTCTACTCCTCTGCTCGAAACTTGGCAAACTTTGGAGCTGCAAAGTTAGTTTTAAGCACAGGACATTGCACTGAGTTGGTCTGGAGTTTGCAGAGTTGCTGATGAACAGTGGAGACCTGAAGACCTGGATCCAGCCAGAGGAGATCTGCCAAGGCAGCAGAGAGCTGACAGTTACCTTTGGGAGCAGGTAGCAGCAGCAGCACCCACATTCTGCTCCCAGGAGCTCTTTCAGTTGTTTTATGCTGCTGAAAGGTTCCTCTGCACCTTCCTGCAGGGGATGGGGCCCCAGGAGTGCAGAACAGCTGCTGCAGCCCGTGGGGATGAACAGAGTGTTGGAATTGTATCCTGAAACCCTCCAGGGAAGTGCTGAGCCCCAGCTGAGCAAACTGCCCTGCCCTGGGGCTGTGCCAGCACTGCTGGGCTCGCTGGGCAGGGTCTCTGCGTGCCAAGGGGCAGTGCTGCCAGGAGCACACCTTGCCCTGGCCACACCAGTCAGGAGAAGTTCATCTCCCCGAGTCCCAGATGTCCCATCTCACTGCCCTGCAAAAGGGTGGAGAACTGTGACATCTGAGCCGTGGCCCTCACACAGCTCAGAGCCCTGGGACTGCTCTGACAGTCCAACTCCAAAGCACAGGGAGCAGTAAATCACAAGTATTTCCCCACAAAATATTTTACAAAGTAAAAAAAAAAAAAAAAAAAAAAAAAAGTAATTTTTATTTTTTCCATTCTTTTGAGAGAAGCTTTCCAGTTGCTTAAAAACAAACAAACCCCAAAGCAGAAAACATCCAGCTTCTGGCTATTTCCAGTGTTTTCAAATTATTCTTTCAGTTTGGGGATTAATTTTTGATGTTGCTGAAAACCAAAATGTTTAGTTATTTGCTTTTTTTTTTTTTTTTTTTTAATAGTTTCAGCAAAACACATTGAAAAGATTTGGCTTCATCTGAGTGTGGGTTGGGAACATTTTAAAATTCTCAAATATTTTGCAGGCAGAGAAATCCCTTTCTGCCCAGCTCGGCCATCTGCCTGCCATAGTAATGCTCTTTTTTTTTGCTTATTTTTACCCCCTTCTTCCCTCTGATATTTGCACTAATTCTAAGTGTCTCTGGACAGGGACTTTACTGTCCTTTACAATTGTTCAGCACTGTCTATTTAGGGTATTACTTTCATGTAGATGAGAAGTAATTATAATGGATCTGAAAATGTATATTTAAGTCTAAAGGCTATTTAAGATTCCCCATTCAATTTCATAGAATAATTAGCAGGCAAATCTATAGGGAGCTCTAATTTTCAGTCTTTTCTGAGGTTAATTTCTTCAGGGTTCAGTCACAGTGCTAAGTGTATTTTTTAGAAGCTTCTAGAAACATTTTTCTTGGTCATCCCTCAGGACATAAGATTGCATTGGCCTTGATTCTTTGGCTTGTTGAAGCTGAATGTAAAAACCCACTGAAAAAATTGGCTTAAAATGTTCAGCAATTCCGTTTAGACATCCCGATTTTACACAAAGTACTCGAGCCTGGAAACACAAGTTTTTCTCCCGAAGGAAAATGGAGTTTTTCAGCAGGACTTCCTGAGTGCTGCAGGTGGGGATGTGACGGGGACAGTCACCACTGGGGCAGTTCTTTGATGCTTCTCTTGGCCCTTGCTGAAAAGTAGGAAGCAGCGAAATGCCTGAAAACATAATTAACGTCAGTAAAATTGTATCAGTACTTTAACACATCTGCAATGTTTCAACTATAGCAAGTAATAAAAACCTTCCAGAGTCTTCTAATTGCCTTTGTGTTAAGGATGGAACAGGCTGTACCCCCACCAGTTACAGCATTGCCCACAGACGTGGTGAGGGTAACCCAGCTCTCCAGGACCACGAGGCACTGAGCTGTGCAACTGGGAGGAAGCTCCATCAGCTTCAACTCGCTCATAATGATTTACCAGAGAAGTGCAATTAAAAAATCGACAGTTTTTAAAAAAAATAATAGAATGTTATCCACTCCTCCCTAGTAGCTCGTGGACGTGTTACCCAATTTCAACCCATTTGTCAGTGCATTCAAAGATATTAAGTGCTTATAAGTCACAGGGAAATGGGTGCCCGGGTTCAGGAAAATGATTAAGGAGACTGATTTTATCAGTGCTCCCACTAACCCTGCTGTGTGAGCTCATCCCTGGGAGCCATCAGTAAATCCAGTCCCTCAGTCCTGAGCTGTGGGTCCCAGGGCCACGCTGGGGCTGCTGCTCAAGGATCTGCTGCTGGAAATGATTCATCCATCCATGCACTCCTACACACACAGGCACTTTCCCTGCTCTTCACACAAACACTGCTCTGCAGGATGGTTTTCTGCAGCTGCCTAGATACCCTCATGATCTCTTCTTTTTTGGTGTCCTCTTTATCTCTGGGTAACAGGCATCACCTCTTCCTTCCATCCTCCCCTGCTCTGATTTTATGCCATCCAGCTCTTCCTAATTGCCAATCCCCTTCATTAAATAGTGGCACTAAGGTGGTTGACTGTGCCTATGCTTCCTTTTTTGTAGTCACATATAAGTTTTGCCAACAAATATCCCTAAAATACTGTCACTGACGCTTAAATGCTATCTCAATATTATATACTATTGTTCGATCCATTTTTAATTCCACTTAGAGCCCAGTTCTGCAACTTTGCCTCTGTGCATGTAATTTTTTTCAGAAAAAAAAGTATCTTTCTTCAGGGTCTGTTGATTTGAAAATCACCTCCTTATCAACAGCAAGATACAAGTGAAAAATTTTGTCAGACCTCTGCTTCTGCTTGGATGATTTATAGAACATTCCTCCCACCAGTTCATTCTTTTTCCACACTTTCTATCCTCCAGAAGAAGTGGGGCAGTGAGCAGAGGTGCAAAGCTGGTTCCTGGTTGAACCTCCCCAAAGTGCAGAGGTGTGTGTAAGTCTGTTAGAGACACGGGTTAAATCTGTTATAGGGATCTCTGGTTTATTTTTCCCTAGAGCTCGGGTAATGTTTCCTCTTATTTTGTTTCCTCTCATGTTTTCATCCTGCAGTTTGAGGTAAAATCATCCTGAAGTCTCCCACGCCCTCCCAGTCATCTTTGCTCGCTGTCATCTCAGCTCTTCTGAACCTTTCTTTACTCAGAACCCCCTTCCACCTTCTCTAGTGTCTCTCACCTCTTGTGCACAAGTCTGACCTTCTGCCCCCCTGGCTTTCATTCCTCACCAGGCTTCAGCCATGTCTGATGTTGAAATGTCTGTGTGCAGATGCTGTGAGTTCCCCTTTCCAGGCTGTCACAGTTCCTGTGCTGTTGTAGGCAAACAACCGATCCTGTTCCTACCACAAATCACTGCAGGACCACTGAGGGCAACTCGGCCTCCTTATCTGAGATCAGATCAAGGCTAGACCTAAAAAACCTGGGCCACAGGCTCTGGGGACCCTGGATCCAAGTTTGTGTTATATGGCACGATGAGAAAGCATTAGACAGAGGCACATTTTTATTCCACCACCTGTATCTCCAGTGCACCTCTATCTCCAGTACTCAACAACTTCTCAACACCCGGTAGCAAGACCTTCAGTAAGAGCCATTAACATGCCACAGGAAGAGACCAGGAAAAAGTGAGAGCTCTCACTGATATCTTCTGAATAGCCATCAATTTTTAGGTTAAATGGCCAAAACAGGCTGTCCTAAGAAGGTGAGAGCTGCCTATGGTGCAGGAGAAGGAAAGGACTGCACGTGGTACCTTCCTGGACCTCAAAGAAAATCCCATCTCGACTCCAAAAAAAGGGAATGGATTAATCTTACAAAAAGGTTAACCTTACAATTGTGTGTTTGAAGTGAGATACACAAATAGAGGGAAACTGGGGATTTTTTCATAATATTCTTTATTGGATAAGTAGAATTTTCAGAAAGAGACCCTCAAGAGAAGCTGGGGTTGTAACATTCCAAGCAACAGAGTGCAAATACATGCCTCTCCTTGCAGCCTTTCTCCAAGGACATCCTGTTTGCTGTCTCATGAAGCTGACTTGCTTTCTGCTCCCTCTGCTCTGGGATCTTCAGGGCTGCTCATCTTCCCACGCAGTCAGTTCTCTTGTCCGTGTTCTCAGGAGCTCCTGGCACACGGTTCCTCATTACCTCCTGCCAAACCAGTGATTTACAGGGATTTGCAGTGGTGTTCCCATTGCAACATCCCATTCAATGCCCTGTAGTAGCTGTGAGAGCTGTGTGATTACCACTGCAATGTTTAAGGGGTGGCTGTGCATCTGCAGTGCTGGGCTGGGCTTGGCAGAGTGCAGGCAGCAAGCTTGGGTGGGTGAGGATTTCTGCCTGGATAATTAATCCATCCCTAGAAGCGTTATTTGAGGCTTGGGTGTCAGAGCAGATTTTGTTGAATTTTAATATTTCCTGTAACTTACACATCTCAGTCTTGCCCAGTTCTGGTTTCCTCTGTTCTCTGGAATGATACCACCTTCCACTCACTGGCAAGTTGTGGCTCTGTGAACATGTTAAACCTCTCATCCCATTCCAGAGTATTTCCAGCCCTCCAGCACAGTGTTTGTAATCTTGTCACCCCATGTGGTTTGATCTTCCAACACCCAGCAAGGGTGAATAAACTCGCTCCTCATTAAGGGAAAATGGCACATGACACACCCAGTGGAACAAAGCAATGAGGAACAGACCCATTATGGGCACATGTAAAGTGGTCTCAGACTCCAGGGATTGTGGGTCCTGCTAAATCATCTCCAACCCAATGACCCGTCCTGTATCTACAAATTATGGGAGCAAGGCAGGAATGGTGAGGGAAGGGAAGACACCAGCCTACAAGTACCTTCAGGTGCAGTTATGAGGGACGTGGCCATTTACCACAACTGGGAATGCAGTTGTAATTAGCAGGGTGACAGCAGGGGCCTGAAGTTTCCAAGTACAAAACTGCCATCTGTACTGCTGTTTAGGAAAAGGAAAAAAAGACATTAAACTGCAGTGATTCCCATTTCTTGGCAGGAATGGGAGAACTTTGTCACAGTACAACTCTGTGAATCCCCTGAAGGAGTTATTGCTCGTGCACAAACAGCCACGAGGTGATCCCAGCTTCTCTGGCAAAGTGGCCACTTTCTGTAGACTCTGCTCTGTAAAAATAAACTGAATACAGCAGTTCTTTCCCTTTGGATTTTTCTCACTCAGGAAACACCTATGCCCAAATCCTCAGCTGGTGTAAATCTGCAAAGCTCCTACGACTTCAGCAAGGCAATGCCAAGTTCCTCCACCAGGGAATGTGATCTATTATTTTGGCTGAGTCTGTAAATCGCCAATTCTGTGTTTTTGGACCAATTGTTAGGTGGTTAATCCTGCAGTTTGCACATGTGGACGGTCTGAGCACTCCCATGTGAGTTTTTGGCTGTGCAAAACTGTAGCCAACACAAAGTGAGTGGGCAAGCATCTAGGTGTGTAATCCAAAGCATGGAAACATGGAGGCTGAGTTTAGCTTTTCCCTAAATGCAGCCCTTTAAATCCTTGCAATCTCCTCGCACACAGAACCCACACACAGAGTCCCTCAAAACCCACACTCACAAAAACAGCTGCAAGAGAAGAAAAGACAATGAGGAGCATTGTGGAGGCACAGTCAGTCACATCTCCCCCTCTGCTCCCCACCAGCACATGCTGGGAGTCAGTCAGCTCTTGGGGGAGCACAGGGAAAACACACACCCACAGGAACTGCTCAGCTAATCCCACTCCCTCAAATCCTGCAGGAGTTTGGTGGTTTCAGTGTGGGACTTCCTTTCTGCTGGCTTCTCCACTCCAACATTTCAAATGGAACTTTCAAGGGAAAAAGGAAATTTATTTTTCTGGATATTTTTTTCAACCTCATTGCATTCTCCCAGGGAGAGAAAAGTAATTTTTACAGGCAGAGGCTGAAATTAAGCCTAAGAACTGCCAAAAGTGGAAGATGATGTGCAGACACCTGCTGGTGAGGTCAGTGGAGGCTCTGCTGTACCCAGCCTTGAAGAGGAGAAAAGAAGGTTCCTAGCCAGGGCCTAAAACCCCAAACCAGTATGTTCTTCATTAAGAAAAAATAGTGCAAGGTTTTTACCTTAATTGTTTGAGTAATTCCTGAAAATAACTGTCCAAACTACTTAGAATAACCAGAATTCTCAGCTGGCTGACTATCCCAGTGTGTCCATCCCTGACTGACTCCACAGGCAAGTGCTCTCTGCCCTCAGCAGCTGCCCAGTGTGAGAGGCTGCCCTGCCTCACCCCCTGGGTAGTTACTCACAGTGTTTTATTTAACAATGCAAAGAACCAGGAGCCATGGAACAAACACCTGTGAGATCAGGGGTGCCCCCTGAGCACTTCTGAACTGCCCCTGGGGTCAGGACTCCCTGCTCACTGGTACCAGTCACCATGTCATGAGTCAAGAGCAACTTTTCTTCTGTTATTTCCATTTTTCTTCTTCCAAGCAGCCTGGGGTCATGATATGTCCAGGACTTAGAGCCTGTTTATGAACACAGTGCTGGGACTACAAGGTCCTTGTCTTTTGGCACTGCAAGAGCCAAAGGAGAAAAAAAGGCAGCTTTCTCTACAATCCAACATTAAGGGACACATCCCTCGTGGTGCCAATTCTGCCACCAGGAAGGGCACAGGAGCAGGGAGGGAGCTCTGAGCCCTCTGCAATCCATCAGCTCACGGGCAGGCACAAATTTTGCAGGAGGATGGGATGTGACAGGGCCCTGGCATGCTGGTGATCCCAGCAAACACAGCTAACCTGGGAAGGAAACAGAGCTATGGCACCATGGGCTGTGCCACGGGCTCCCCAGAGCCCCCCTCATCCTGGACCTGGGGAAGTGAAAGTCCTTCCTTGTTCCCTGCAGCAGGAACAGCTCAGCTGGGATGTCTGGAAAACACAGACCTGCACACCAGTGCTCTGCTCCCAAGTACATCACACAGGCACTTAATTAGTTTTGTAATTCCTGAGGATTTATGAGCCTCCATCTTCACTAATTTGCCTCGATACAACATCAGACAGTGTTCAAGCACGTCCAGGAAGTATTAACACGGGCTAAGTGCTTCTAAAAATACGATACCTGTCAGAGAGGGTTAAATTTAAAGTAAATTTGTGGTTGGCTTTTTTTTGTTTGTTTTATTTTTGCCAGAAGCAGTACCCTTGAAGGGTCCAGCAACCTGTCTGTGTCTTCAGAAAATTACAGGTGTTTAAGTGGGCTGTGCTGAAGGCAGACTGTGAGATAACAGGGGTTTTCTACCCCTCCAGGTTCTTCTGCTGCCTCTGTGACTCCTCCTCCCCTCTTCCATGGGGGCTGCTGGCAGATGCTCTATTTGCAGGAGTGGGTTCCCCCCAGCCTGGCAGGCAGGTCCAGGAGCTGAGCCTGGTGATGACGTGCTGAGATGATCTGCTGGGGCTGACTGTGCAGCTGCAGCTCAGGACCATCCTTTCCAGGCACTCACCATCACCACAAGCCCCATTCTGACCTGGCCTAAAGTGCACTGGGTTCTTATCTCTCTTGCCTTGGTGGCTTCTGATGCACCACAATTGACTCCCAGCTCATCTGCTGTTTCTGGGCAAACCCACTGCAAATGCAGGCAAGGGAACAGAAATGCTCCTTGCAGTCTGGAGTCTAGTCTGCCAAAATAAAAAGGGTGAAAAGATCATGCCTTCCTTCTTAGATAGGTTACCCTCAATTCTTCTACTCTCCTTTCTCCCTGCCAGCCAGAAAATGTCTTTTGCCAGTGTTCTCCCTCCCTTTTAAAAGATCTAGAGGCACAATACATCAATTGGGAGAAACTTTATCTGTTTTTCTCTTCCTCCCCGTTTTCTCCCCCGCTACATTTTTTTAACGTACCTTAAATATTGAATTTCATCTTTAAAACCGTGTTCTAAAGTCAGGATAGAGCAAGGATGTCAATCAGAGCCCATCAGGTTGGCAAAGACTCTCAGTGACCTCGGTGAGCCCTGCTCAGCCATAACACCTCCTGGTCCTGCACTGCCCTGGCAAAAAGAGGATTGAGAGGAGGGACTGGGGAAGGTTACAGGGAAAGAGAAATGGCTGCAGAGAGTCCTGAGGGAAGGGAAGCTCCCTTCTGGGACACCCCAAACAGCTGCTTAGCAAAAGTATTAATAACCTGCAAAAAGAATCAAAGGGATGGGCAAAGCAAAACAAGAGGAGCTGCCCGAATTCCCAGTCGGGTTTTGCACACCCCAGTGACGATGATTCACTGTCTGGTTTTCACTTTGTTCCCTTCCTTGGGCACTCGGCAGTTTCCTCACTCTGCTCAGGTTCTGCCTGTCCTTTCACTTTATGTGAGCTTTTTGCTTTTTTTCTCTGGTTACTTTATTAGCAATGACCCAAACTCTGGAGAATTTGACCCACACTTTCTCTCTGTATATTTATTTTAATTTCATTGACTTATGATAGAAATCATTTGAGTGCTTTAAAAGCATAAATGAGAAAAGCATTATTATGATTTTGTCAGATCTCACCTCACCATTAACAGGGCATTAACACTGGAAAATTGATTAAAAAAAATCCTATTGGAAAGACGTATGTAGCAAAATGAAACCAACTTCCTTTATTCCTTTCCCGGTTTTGCTGACATCTTCCCAAATTAAAGCTGTCATCAAATATGTCTATTAAACTAGAGGCAGGTCTTACAGGGATGCTGCTCCCTGAGCAAACCATTCCTGCTGAAGCCTCCCTGTTCCTCTGGTTTCTGCAGGACTGTGGCACTGGGGTGACCTGGGGCTCCCCACAGCTGCCCTGGCTCTGGCACCGGGGCTACCATGGGGTCAGGAGCTGCTCCTTTGAACCAGTGACGACAAAAGTGTGTGTCTGATAACCCTGGCAGGGGAAAGAAGAGGCAGGATAAGACCTGCACACATTTCTTAGGCTATTTTTCACCCTTTATGACTCCAAACTGAGCCACGAGGCAGACAGGGGAGAGGGCAGGGCGGCTGCTGCATCTGCTGCTGTCCCAGCAAGGGATGACAGAGCAGATTGTCCCTGGAGAAATCACCCCTGGACTCTCAAAGACCTGCAGCAAACTTCCTGATAAGTGACATTTTTCCTGTAATGATTTGGTTTTAGTCAGAAACAAAACATTACCTTGTGTTCTGCTGCAAAGCAGGAGGGGAGTTGCTCCTCTTGTCTCACTCGCTGGGAATTTCTTTTATTTTTAAATTTAGAACAGCAGCAGCTTCTTTACAAAAATCTACGTACTTTTCATGGAAGTTCACTAATTTGAACCCCAGACTTTCAAGCTGAGTATTTTAACCCTCTCTTTATAGATCCAGTGCTGGGTGTCCTGACCTGCAGCAGGAGGGTTCTCGTGCACATCTGAGCAGTTCCACAGCTCCCACCCCAGAACTGCACTGGGCAGGTCCCGGGAGCCCCTTTTGCTCTGTTCAGGTCCAGGTGATTTCTGTGGACTGTTCCTCCTGCACAGTTCAGAGGAGGTGCCTCAGGAGGGCACCCACTGTGAGGTGTTTGCTGTTGTCCCCCCTCGACACCCAGAAACAAGCCCTGACTCACAGAGATCGATGCTCAGCCTCAAAGGGATGGTTTTAATAAGAATTTCTGTTTAAATGGGGAATAAAACTGCATTTTCTTCTCATCTCAGCTTCTGTTTCCTTCAGCTCTCAGCAGGCAATGGCTTGGGATACTTGTTGCTCTCAGTAATTTATTTCAGGACCCCCTTATTTTTATTTTATGCATGGCCTAATGCAAGTGTTTCCTAGTTTTAAAGGAGGAAAATTAATTTGTTTCCTCTGGATAACAAAGTGCCATCAAGTTGAGCTCTAGATGGTATTCACCTGGGCAGTGGCCTGGGCTTGCAGTCCTGCAGGGCTTCTTCAGGAATCAGCCTCGGTGAATAATTTATTTTTCAGTTTGGCTGCTGGGAGTCAAGGGGAAATTCAGTTTAATTCAAACTCAATCTCCCTCCTTCCCTGCACACACGTATATGTTTTTGCTGTGCTTAGCCAGGCTGCACAATGGGTAGTTTTGCTGCTATGAGTCATATTGCCTGTGATTTTTCTTGTAAGTGTTTATGTTTCTGTCCTCAGTGCTGAGCTTGAAGACATCAGCTACTCAGAGCCAGTGCAGGGAACACAACAGAGGAAAACTGCTCTCTGCACCCTGCTAAGATGCCACATAAATGTAAGAGCAGGGGGACAAGAAGGTTTCTTGGGCTGCTATTCCTTCCCCACTTGTCCCTGCAGCCAGAGCCGAGGCTGTGGGGGTGCCAGGGGAGCTGCTGGGAGCTGTGGGATCTCTGCAGGGCACAGGGAAGTGCCCACAGGAGGGGGACAGGAAAGTTCTTCGAGATCTGTGCAAAGAGGAATCAGGAGTCTCAGAGCCCACCAAAGTGTTTCACTTCCTCTGAAGGTGGGAACTGGGAGGCAACCAGTGACCTGTTCTGTCACTGGGAGCTGAACTTGGTGTTTGACCCTGTTCTGGAAGATGAGGAAGGATCTGTCCAACTGCACATGTGTTGTGCTCCAGCTCTGGTGTTCATAGAGCTAACATTTTGCAAAAGGCAGTTTGTTGCTGTGGCTGATGTGGCCTGAGGAGGTTCCTGGAGCACTCCATGGCACCAACTCGCTGCTGCTCTTCAAGGAGACACTGCTGGGATTTTTAGCCTAAGCCATAGGCTAAACCCATGAGCAGTTGATTCCTCTGTGCTGCTGTGCGTGGTTATTTTGCAGCCCACACAGGCTGCACTCTCACAAAATCGGTTCCTGTCTCTCCTGGCAGCCCGAGTTTGCCAGGCAAGGCAGGAACCAACCCCTCCAGGTCTGCCCATGGGGAGGAGGCTCCCAGGTCTTCCCAGGCTCTGTGCTGTGCCTCTGGCCCAGCAGGAACACAGGCTGTGCCTCAGAGTCTCTGCCATGCCCTGTGCAATGGCACTGATCCTTCCCCAGCCACAGGAAGGGGCTCAGGGTTGATCTTTACGAAGGATATTTATCATTTGCTGGAGAGGAATTCCTGATGGAGGAAGTGCCTCTTGCACCCAAGTTCCTTTTGCTCTTCCCTGAGCCACATTTCAGAGTAAGCCAAGGTAAGAGGGTGGAAAATCTCGTGCATCTTTCTTCCCAGTGCTCCTCTGCTCCCACAGCGTGCCTGAATCAGCAGTGCCTGTGAGTTCAGCACTGCCAAAACCTCCTGTCCTACAGCACAACAGAAACTTTCCAGGGGTCTGCCCGGTTCAGCCTCTCCAGAAGCCAATGGGATTTTGCCAGGGAAAAAAATG